AAAAAAAAGTGAGAGTCATTTTTGCAAGCCCCTCTGATTATATATGATTCCTTGATGCGCGTGACATCGGCCATCATCGGCCTGGCACTATCTCACCACGACTCCGCGAGCTTGCGCAGAGTGAAAGTTTCAAGTTCTTTGACGATTGAACGGACGTTGCGGCTGTGCGTTTGCTATAAGGGCGCCTCGCACCGTGAGTGGTGCGAGTCGACATGAGCCTGCGTTCCCTGACTTGTTTTCGGCCACACCAACAAACCACTTGCCGTGTTTTCAGGTGTTGCCTTAGCTGCCGCACAATGTGTCAATTTTCCAACACAGATTCAACATGTCCCCAATCTTTGGCCTCACTCGTCATTTGCAGGACACATTGCATATTGAACAGGTAGGCATTTTGGTTAGTCGAGGCTCACCTATACGGCGACTTGGGGTTCCTATTTCAATCCACACGCAGAGAATGAGAGCGTCGCTGGCTGGCAGAGAGGCTTGGAGCACAATCCATTGGTTGGAATGAGGGCCTTGACCTTCATCCAGACTCTCGGAAGCGCGGAAAGATCGGTTGGTACTTCCGAAATTTGAGACGGAGTTTTTTGAGTCATTTGATGTGTCCAGTAGTAGCGGATGGGTATTCAAGACCTTTCATAGCAGTTCTGGTGTGGTCGGGCCCGTGATCAGATCAGTCATGGATGATCTATTTCGATCGATGTCACAGTTCCAACGTAATTGCCAAAGATGGGTGTGATCAGAGCTTGGGTGTGCGTAGTGTTTGGGAAACAGCAGCCGATTTGATGCCCCCTTTTTCCAAACACAAGCAATGTCACCATGTGTCCTCTAAGGTCAAACTCAACTCGAGGAGTTTTGGCATTTCGCGGCACTGACCTCAACACCTCCCAGTCCAGTGGCCAAGCAGACACCTGTGCGGATGCGTTTCTGCAGCTGGATCTAAAACATTCTCTGCCACCATGGTGCAATCAATTCACTCTCCATCAGCCGCACGGCAAACAGGTAAAAAGGGTCAACTTCCTGGATACCATGTTGAAGTTGGAGGATGACAAATCATGGTGAGAACCTGGCGAAAGGACTAGGAACAAGAAGCTACTAGTAACAAGGGCATCGCTACTAGTAACAAAGGGCATTACTACTATATAGTAGCATTCTTACTACTAGGAACAAGAAACCCCTTTGTTCATCAATTGTTTTTACTTTCCCGAATGGGGGTGGCTTCAAGCGACATGTGGAGCCACCAAACCTCGCTGCCTCATATTGTAGTCACTTAACAATCTTAACAGCAAGGAAAGCATGAAGCTGGAGTAGGGTCTGGGATACTTTTTGTCATCACTTCTGTAACATCAGTTCAAGCTGCTCCATATCTTGAGGTCATCAATGCATTTTCGTTTTGAGGGTTCACTTGCATAGATTTGGGGGCTAACCATGCAATAACTTGTTTCCGCTACCGGCGCCAATAGTGACCCCAGCAAATCCGACTATTCTAGGAGGCAAATGTCGGTTCTTCAATGTTTTTCAAAATGTTGAAGAGAATGATTCGTGGGTCTTATTTTGCGCGGGGGGGTGCAAGATAATAGTTGCTTTCAGTTTTCTTTCGGACTATTATAGTCTATATAGTTATTTGTGTTTAGTTTCTTTTTCCTCCAGATGCTTTATGATTTTTTTGCGTTGATGCTCAGGCGCAATGACTCCATATAAGATCTTGACTGGAGTCCTAATTACATTCCCACTTGCATAAGTCATACATGCTAAGTACTGAAATCGTTTTGTTCTTCGGGTGAAAAAAGTGAGGGGCAAAATGGGTCAAGGCCAAATGGAATATTCCAATGTATTGGACCGTGTTTGACACAACTTAGATACCCTTATACTGTAATAGGAGCCACACAGGAATTAACCCAATGTAACACTTCCGATACATAAGCATACGCAACTGTTGACACATTGTGCCACATGTCCAAAACTCCAGCAACTTGCTTCTTTGACTGATTGATGTGCTACTTAGAACGCTACTAGGGGCTCCTGGCATCGCTACTAGGAACAAGAACGCTACTAGGAGCAAAGGGCATCGCTACTAGGAGCAAGGACGCTACTAGGGGCTCCTTTCATTCCCTCCGGTGAGCTCGTCTTCAGGTTGGACTACTTATCACGAGCCCTGGAGTTTGCTGAGCGGATTGTTGTCGCTTGGGGGCACCAGCACGTGGTTTGGCCAGTTCCCGCCACCAAACAGACCCACATTTCCACCCACAGCAGTCGGATTTCCAGTGCTCTGAGACTCTGAGGGGGCCTATCCGTCCATCCATTGGCTCTACACTGGCCATTCCTTGGGCGCAGCATTGGCACAGCTGGTTGCCGCACAGCGTGGCGCCTCTGCCGCGACCTTCAGCGCACCAGCGCTGAAACCGCTTTTGCCACGCTTGCAGAATCCGACGCTGCGCACGTGGGGTGCGGTGACCTTCTACGCACCGTGGCGCCACCAAGGGGGTGGATCATTGTGGAGTGGGAGTGACGGCTGAGTGACGGAATGCCTTTGAAGCTTCTTAGTAACAAGAAGCTCTCAGGTTGAAGGCCATCGCTCTTAGGTTGGGGGCCATCGCTACTAGCAACAAGGAAGTTCAAATCAGAGCATGCTGACATTTGTCCTGACCATCCCTGACCTACAGTTGCGGTGGTCCAATTGCTTGCTCGTGTTGTTATTGTGGGCGTTTGTTTACTCCCAAGGCTTCCATACTGGACAATTAGAGAGTTATTTAGCAGCATATACTGTAGTAGTATATAATGGATATATAGAACCAATTATTTACTGCATACCTTCTTGACCCATTTCAAACATATGTGTTTCGTGTTAGAGGACTGTTTTTTTTATGCTTGGTTAAATCTTTGGCACGTACTGTTCCGTCCAATCAGGACCAATATGACCCCTTGCGCTTCACAGCACTCAACGAGCTTTGGAATGCAAACTGCACTTGGCATCGCTCCTCAGCACCCACTGGCTGCCATGAGTGTGAGGAGCGCATCATTGACATGCACTCGGATGTATGTGAAGAGTGCCCTGGTGGGGAAGCTGTGTTTTAGAGGCAAAGGTGTATATAGTTTTGGAGGGGGCAAAAGGAAGGCCAGCATGTAGGGCAAGGTGTACTGATAGGGCGGCTGCAGAGTTGTAGGGAACCGGTTTGCAGAGGACTTTGTTGTAGTTGTTGGCCTGTGCAGTGGCGCGGTCAACCCTCGGTACCAAAAACCATGTTTGCCCTTTGCAACTAGAAGTAGTGCATGCCAAAGTGGCTTTTTGGGCATGTGAATGCTGAGGTGCTTCATGAAGGCTCACATTTTCAAGAACTATCTCGAGCTGGTTTTGTCTGGGAAGCGCCCAGACTGCCATCAGAGGCATGTGCATGATCCATTCCTAGTGTGAGCATTTGCGCCCACTTTAACACTGAAAGAATGAAAGCTACATGCACCCGTTCGAGGTCTGTCTCAATAGAGCACCTCCAGTAGAACATGTTGCAGCGAGGGCCATTCAGCGCCTTTGCAACTTTGAACTTTGGCAGGGCAAAACAGCATCCAAGGGGAGAATTAAGCCATGCCCAGGTTAGTAACGTCTCACTTTTTGAACCTAGATGTGGAGCCACTTTGTTTCGTTTGTTTGCTATGCCAGCTTCGTAGACATGCACCACGACAAGCACATTGCCATTGCCAATTCTAGCTGGAAAGGCCACCAGTCGCAAGGATAACTTTGCGAGAAACCGGTTTGTGCATAAGACACACTTTGCAGGACAAACTTAACATGACTCACGACGCTGCTATTGAGTCTAGCATAGTCTAGCCATCTAGCGGTCCAGCCTGACTGCGCGCACTGCTACCTTGTCCATGTTATTCTTCTTGAGCCATGCCGGCCTTTCTGCTGATGATCATGTCCTTTGACAAGCAACGAAGAGTTGAAGTGATGTTTGTGAAGAAGGGCGAATGAATGAAAGGCAAGTGCCACACGACCTGAGAGTAATGGAGAGGATGGCCACATCAGCAGTCACAAACAGCATGAAGTCCCAAGGTTCTTGATTTTCTCTTGACCAATCTCGATGCACTGGACTTGGTGAATCTTGCGCTGACGTCTTCTGTTTGCTGCTGGCGCCTAGGCCGGGGGTACCTGCCATGCAAGTCAAGACAAAACTTAGAGACGCCTGGCCACTGTCCAGCTTCAGACGCCTGGCCACTTGTGCAACAGTGTTCATGTGAGAAACTGATGCCAACTGCAGCGTTTTCCACAAGACAATTCACCGGCGGGCTGGCATTTTTCTACTTTGCAGCCATGGCTTTGGAGACTCAGTTTTGCATTGTGCTTTTTGATTGTGGAAGTTTCTACCTTTGAGGTGGGTGGCATGTCGGGAGTCTGCAATCATGTCGCGCGCGGTCTCTTTTTCCTCCTTCTCACCCGACAAGATTTGGGTAGCTAGATGGGGAACGTGCCTTGACTTTGCTGCAAGGCCGCGCCCGACATCTGAAGTGGTTCGCAGCAGTGCGGTCCAACTAGGAACGTGCAATACCCTCAGCCGTCCCTTCAAATTAGCCATTGTATGTGTGCATAGGCCAAACATGATCAAATTAGGTTTGTATTTAGAGTCAGGGAAGAACAGTTGTGCGCTGGGTCTTAGATCAATTTGCGCGCCAAGAGATGCTCAATGCTATGTTTACTGTTAATCATTCAATGCTATGTGTCCTCAGTTTGGTATCCGAGCGTCAAGTTTCCCAATTCAAAACAGCTAGGAACCAAATCGTTAGCTATCCTGCGTCCTGGGTAGTAGCTTGAGTAGCTAGCAGCTACGTCTTCTACTAGCTACCTCTTTGGCCTACCACCCCCCCGTGGGCTAAACAAAACACTGAGGACTTGCCTGTGACTCGTCCTTTGCACCTGGAAGCCACACGACCTGTGAAGGCAATTTGGGGCAGTCTACGCACGTCTTTCACGTCGGTGATCCTAAACTCCGACCCTCAGTGCTCACGCCACTCAGTGAATCCCAACAAGACCAGTTGAGTGTATGCATGCTTGTAGATCCGAAAGCAGCATAAAGGTTGAATGATGTTGAATGATAAATCTATATATCTCCCGGTACTTGTACCTGCAAGATTATGTTGAGGAAGACCTACCCACCTATATACCTACCTTGCTGCTCCAGGTTTGTTCCCAACCACACTTTTGGGGGCACAAAGATGAGTGGGACAGTGTCCTTCTTTTGTGTGGGGTTTTGAGCAACTTGCGAATTCGCAGGCGCACGGCGCCTCCAAATCAACCTCATCACCCTTTGTCACAACATCGAGGTGCAGCAATCGCGAGCTGTTGACAAGGTTTTGAATATGTTGGAATGGTTCGTGTTATTCCTTTGCCAGGGTGTCTGCTGCGCTGGCCTTGGCTGGTTTGGCGAGGCAATGTGGCGTGCTGCGTCGCGCAACCGCAGTGAAGAAGAAAGGCGTGCGTGTGGTGGAGGGCAAGGAGACTGCATAGCTGAAATTTGATTGGTTAGGGCGATGAGCATGTTCAGGATGTATGATTCTATGATTTCCACACAGTAATGACCAAAGGTCTCATAACCAAATGCCACCTTCTTTGCATATGCAGATCCAGATATGCAGCAATGCAAGCCAAAGGCCTGCAAACATGTCAGGAGATCCCCTGGAATCTCTTCAGCCCAAAGGCCCCTTACAAGGGGAGCACTGTGAGCAAGGAGACCATCACCAGCAAGACTCCATTGGTGAATTGGGAGACTTGCCATGTGATCATGGACCATGGAGGAAAAGTGCCATACATTGAGGGTCAGTCCATTGGCATAATTGCCCCCGGCCCTGACAAGAAGGGCGAGACCCCCGCCAAAATCCGTTTGTATAGTATTGCATCTTCAGCTCCAGGTGACGACGAGAAGAACAATACCGTATCTTTGGTAGTGAAGCGTGTGGTTGAGGTGGCTGGCCGTGGCTGGTGTGAGTACTCCAATGTCGAGAAGGGAAAGGATCCGGAATTTCCAGATGCCGCGAAGGTCTATCGTGGTGTGTGCTCCAGCCACATTTGCGATCTCAATGCCGGAGATGATGTGTTGATTACCGGCCCAACTGGTGCAGAGATGCTTCTTCCAGAAGATCCAGAGGCCAATATGATCTTTATGGCAACCGGCACTGGCATTGCCCCGTTCCGATCTCATTTGCGAAATCTCTTTCATGACAGAGTCTCCAAGGGCAAATTCAAGGGTGTTGCGTGGCTATTCTCGGGCGTGCCATTCTCCCAATCCTTGCTCTATGACGAGGAGTGGAAGGAGATGCAGGCGGAGTACCCAGATCAGTTCCGCTATGACTATGCAGTCTCCTCTGAGGAGAAGAGTGAGAAGAATAAGATCAACGGTGAAATGTGGGTGCAGCACAAGATGATGCAGCATTTGGGCATGAATAGCTGGACGTTTCTAAGACTTGTTCAGATTCAGGCTCCTTTGCATCGACTTGACATGTGGGTGACAGGGGGCATTACCAAGCTTTGAGTGCTACTTCAAACGACAGTATGAGCATGTCAAGCCTGTGGCATGTAAGTAGGTAATAGCATAAATAGTTACTGTAGCTTTCGTTTTCTTGACAAGATTCTTGAGGGTTCTTGAGGATCCGGATCGTTTTTTGAGAGTTGAGACTCTGTTTGGCTAACAGGTATGCTGATGACCTATGGGAGTTGGTGAAGGACCCGCGTAGGAAGTACCAGTGAGTTGATTGTGCCCACACCAGAGCGCGCACAGTGCATACAATGCATAAGAGGGCACAAACTTGTTTGATTCTGTGAATTTTAGCCTAAAGAGTCATGACAGCAGATGAGACGAATGCCGGTGGCCGTTCCCCCTCAAGGTGCGCACAGAGCCAGAACCTTTCGTTTGCGAGCGAAACATGCGTTGTCGCTTTCGCTTTTTTTTTTTCGCTTTTTGTTCCCCGGTTTGTCATAGCACACAATCCGGTCAGTTGGCACCGGAGCCTGTCCCGTGGTTGAGCGTTTTGATCTGTCGTCGGGCGACGGTACCTCTTCTGCCTTTGAGTGGGGCCCTGAAGAATTGGACGCCTTTGAACGGTTGCACGCTTCCATGGCGGATTATGATCCAGGTGCAGTTCACGCCCCCTCATCTTCGAGCAGCGAGCCGGTTTCTTGGAGGTGTTGCGGTGTGATTCCGCCTCTTGGCAGGTTGATGATGCAGAGCTTGGTACGTACAAGTGTTTGTCGTTTGGCCATGGCGTGTTTTACAATACATTGCATCCCGCTGAACGACAGACAGTTGAAGGTACCTGGACCTTTGTCCCTAAAGCCGGAGGCAAAGATCGGCAGGTGAGCGGCTCGCGACCTCACGTCTCCCAGAGGCAGTTCGGTGACCACCCTGAGGAACCGACACAGGAGACGCCTGAGAGCGAGAAGCATACCACCGATCCTTCTGTCGACCCTTCGAGTCGGTACGATTGGCCTATGGAGAGCGGTCCATTGGTTGCCTCATCGACCTCATCGAGGAGACGTCGTAAGAAGGGAAAGACCACTGCGCAGACTCCCAATCCAAATGTTGATCCTCAGACAGTTGACAATACAGAGCATGTGCGTGCATCAAGGTCGCCAACAGTTCCTCACCTTCCTGTTTCGTCGAAGACGCAATCAGGTACAGAGCAATCAGAGTTGTTGCAGGTGTTGAAGCAATTGTTGGACGACAAGCGTGGCGATAGCACCTCGTCATGGAATAGCAGGAAGGGCCCGGCACCAGGGCTCAAATGGCGGGGAGGAACCCCTCCTCAGCCTCCGAAGTGGCAGTACGCCTCGACGGACCTCAGAGCATTCGCAAAGTATGAACGAAGAGTTCAAGTTTGGCAGATGCAAGTGCAACATTATTTGACTGGAGCTGAAGCAGGTTTGATGCTTTTCTCCAGCTTGAGTGGAGAGCCCGAAGCTGAAGCTGAACACATGGAGCTCGAGAAGATCAATGCAAAGGATGGTGTGGCTTACATCCTTTCCTGCCTGAAGGGCCCGTTGGAGCAGAAACTGCTGTATCAGAAGAGAATGCTGCTGTCGAACTACGAGAACATTGCACGGCAAGGGCATGAGACAGTTCGCCAATTCATCAACAGATGCAAGCGCGTTGAAAGAGACCTGCAGAGTGTTGGCATCAGTTCAGCCACCATGTACGATGCGGAGTCGAGGGGAAACCGCATCTTAGAGCGTTGTAAGTTGGACCCTTCATTGCAGAGGCTTGTGTTGATTGGCGCTCAGTGCAACCTCGACTTCGACAGCATTGTTGAAAGCCTACAGTTGCAGTTTCCGGATTTCCGGCCCACGCCAGCAGTGTTTCTGTCAGGTGGTTGGAGACAGAACAATAGCTCTCACAGTCACTATTCCAAAGGTAGTGGCAAGTCGACGGTCAGTTCATCATCTTCAACAACGGTTCCGTCCTCAGCATCAGCATACAACAGGAGCAAGGGCAAGGGAGGACCGAGCATGCGGACCCAGCAGACGATCCGAGCTCAGAGACATTGCACGACATCCCAGAGGAGGAAGCCCATGAAGAGTTCTTCGAACCACTCGAAGAGCATGCTGGTGAAGAGGAGGACGAGCAAGAAGCTGAAGATGGCGAGACAGATGACCTTGACGGCTCCTTGCAAGATCTTGCCAACGTCCTCACTGTGACGTCCAAGAAACTTCAGTCAACAGTTCTTGGACGGAAGTTCACTGGTCGCAAGACCATAGAGGAGCGCAAGCGCACCAGTGCTTGCTCAGCCTGCGGTGCCATGGGGCACTGGGCAGGCGATGCAGCTTGCACCGCATCAGCATCGGGCAAAAGCACTGGAAAGGGCAAGAGCAAAGGGAAAGACCAGTCCAAGCGGTTTGGTACACCTTCCTCATCATCAAGTGCACCTTCAACTGGCTATCCCAAGAAAGCATTTGTCGTCACCTATGGGGATGAAGACGCACACGATGATGAGCACCAGGGTCAAGACACATACTTCAACTTCCCCACCAGCTATGTCCTTGCTGAACAGTCATGCAAAGTTTACACCACGAAAACCATAGACCTTGCTGGCTACATGGTTCTGGATACTCCATGTCAGCGGTCGTGCGCTGGTGAGAGATGGTTTGCAACACACACCAAGTTGTTACAGAACCATGGGTTGTCCAGTTTGCATCAACATTGTCAAGACAGATTTCAATTTGGTGCAGGTAGAGCGCAGACAGCCACAGAGCGCTGCTACATGCCGGCCAGCTTTCGTGGCCAGGAGACCCAGGAGTTCTTTTTGGTGTGAGCATCCTTCCGTTGCCGATCCCGTTTCTTGCAAGTCGCGTTTTGTTGGAAGGGCTTGATTTACAACAAAACGTTTTGCACATGTCCAAGTTGGGTGTTTCAGTTCCTATTGTTCGCAAGCACGGTCACATTGTTGCATGCATTACAGCCTTCCCTCCTTTTGCAAGCGAGCTTACATGTTGGAGTGAACTGTTTGATAGAAGCTGTTGGAACAAGAAGGCACCAGAGCTTGTTTTGCACCCTGACGCCGTGTCCGCTCAGAGCAATTCGATCATCGACACCTACTGACCACATGCAGAAGACCAAGCAGCCCCCAGAATGGCTGGCTCACTGGAGAACCCTCATTCTCCGGTTGTTGATTCTGGAGCTCAATGTGATGAAGAGCATGAGCCGGTTGGTGAAGCTGGGCATCCGCCCACGGTCTTGGCTTACAAGTGCCGAGCGCCAGGAGTTGAAGGAGATGCGTCTGAAAGCACTCAGCAAGCCAAAGCCGGCAAAGAAGAGCTGCACACATCCAGAGATCCGCCGCTACGGCAACACCCACGCCAGGTTCTCGATGTGCCTCCGGCGCGAGGAAAAGTTCAAGTGGAACCCGGAGCACGACGCTTGGGTGGTGCTCCAGCTCCTCGGCGCTGCCGCCACCATCATCAGCCAATATCCTCTCACTCACGGATTTGGCAGCCAAGACGGCGACCAAGAACAAGTCACAGCCCAGGAGCAGGCAGCCTCCCAAGAAGCCGTCCAACACTACCTCCAGCCAGAGTTCCAGGACTCAAGGCCCGCTTCACTATATGTCGGAGGAGAACTTCAGGGGCAGCGGACACACCAGGGACGATTTCGAGGACATGATGAACTCAGTGAGCACCGAAGCATTCCCTCCGGACTCGGACGATCCAGACAGGTTCCGACAGCCGTCAGACGAAGAGTGGGAGTGGTGAACGATGACAACAACCAAGAGCACCAGGACTACTGGGAGAAGATTCGACTTCAGTGCATCCGTCACCACATCATTCCAAGACTCCTTTTGCACGACCTCAGCCAAAGCAGTTGCCCAGTTCCAAAGCATCTCATGCACCCACAATGCCAGGCACACATCCACTATGAGGATGGGACATTTGAAACCATCACGAACGACTGGACCTCAGACACACCACAGCAGCTCCGACAACCCTGGACAGGTCGCACCATATACACTATCCAGCACGTCCAGAACAGGCCACCAGGACCACTCACCAACGCAGCACGAAGAAGCTTGCGTACCCAGGTGAGACAAGCACACGAGGTCTACGAGACGGAGTATGCCATCATGAGCCAGTCCATGGATGACAAACATGTGCACGAGCACCTACAGAAGCAGAAGCACCAAGCAGCACGGGTTGACATCTTGGAAACCTTTGCAGGCACCGCCAACATTTCAAAGAGATGTCACGAGTTCAACCTGACAGCGGCTGAACCCATCGACTACAACACTGGATGGGATCTCCGTAAGCCTGCAGACCGTGACCAGGTGCCAGAACTACTTGATGTACTACGACCCATCGTGCTCATTCAGGGCATTGACTGTCGTGATTGGTGCCTGCCCCAGGACAACTGCAACTACGTTCGCAGGAAGATTCTGCTTCTCATGAGAAGGGCCAAGGCCAGAGTCCTTCTTCGAAAGGTGGCAAAATGGTGCATCCAACAGCGCCAACAAGGTCGATGCTTCCTCATCGAAAACCCGTTGACCAGCAGGCTACGGCAAGAACAATGCATCCAGGACCTGACCAAACTGGATGGAGTGCAGTCCACCGTGTGCCACGCAGGAGGGTCAGATGATCCGCAAAGCTCACCGCTTCATGGGCAATTGTGAGCCAATCCTCCGAAGACTCACCAAGAAGCTCACTCCAGACCAGCTCCGATCCTGCATACCACTGGAAGGGAAAGAGACCACATTGTTTCAGGCCTATCCCCAGCAGATGGTCATTGCAAGGCGTCAAAGAAGAAGTACAAGCACGACACCCTGACCGGTGCCACCCCAAGCAGACCTTCCAGATCCACATGGTGACCGCCATCTCCGACTGGGCCGAAGCCATAGGTCTAGCCGAGAGCACCTTCCAGGTCACTAGGTACAAGAACTTCACCTTGCCGACTTCAGACCCGCTCTTCACCAAGGCAGCCCAGTTGACCCAATGGGGTCACCTTGAGAGAGTCCAGATCTCATGGCAGCCAATGGTGTGGAGGTTTCCTTCGCACATACCACACACACAGAGAGCGGCAGCGTTGAAGTACACCGACGGCGAGATAGAGGTTTTTGAAGAAGACCTCAAGCTCCTCAGACATTCAAGAGCACGCTTCAAGGAGCCAGTACAACTGGCCATTTTCATGTTTGGCCATGTGAATGAACCAGCGCCTGAGACCAAACGACCAAGGCTGCAGGGACCACAACAGCCAGACATAGACACACTTCCTGACTCATCACAACCGTCTATGGCATTACAACCACACCCATTGATCACCAGATGATCCCCTCCAGATCGTCCCAAGACCAGCTGAGGACATCACCTTTCCAGAGCACATCAAGCTGCCCGCAGAGATCAAGCTGGCAGTTCGACGACTGCACAAGAACATGGGTCACCCACGTCCAGCCGAACTAAAGAAGCTACTTGGCATGAACGGAGTCCGAAACCAGACCATTTACACAGCCATTGACAACATGAAGTGCAACAGCTGTGAACGAACCAAAGGCCCCAGATCCAGGCGGTGGCATTCCAGATGAAGCGGCCTCCCAATTCGCAGACAGAATCCAGATGGACATCATGTACGTCCGGGACATCCGAGGCGTCAACCATATGATCCTTGGCATCATCGATGAAGTCACTCACCTCCACATCGGTGCACTGCTCAAGGACCGCACACCAGAAGAGGTCAACCGCCAGTTCCAGTTGGCCTGGGCCAGACCATTCGGCTATCCTCTCCGACTGAGGACAGATCCAGATGGATAATTTTCAGATCCACCTTTGAAGAAGCAATGGATGAAGCAGGAGTCTACATCGACTACATACCAGCAGAGGCCCTCCACAAGATCGGCCTCATTGAACGACACAACGCAACCTACCGGGAGATCATGGAGAGAGTGATAGACTCCCAGGATATCTCCGGACCAGAACAGATGGAGACCCCAACAGCCATGGCATCACATGCCAAGAACAGCTGTACATGGAGCACAGGCCGCCCGCCATACACAGCTGCATTCGGCCGCATCCCAAGGCAGGGTCTTTGACCTCCTCAACGACCCCAACGGCCTCGTCACAGGACAAACAAGATCCCACGCACAGCAGTTCGCAGACACCATCCGTGCAGAGGCACAACAACACATAGCAGCAATGGCAGTGGACAGCAGCCTCCGGAGAGCACTACTCCGAAACAGACAACCACAGATCTCCGACATTCCGGAGATAGGTGCCACAGTGGCATACTGGCGCTGGACAGCACGGTCCGGCAAGAAGCGAGGAGGCTACAAGCTAGCTCGCCTTCTCGGACGTGATCTTGACGGCAAAAGCATGTGGTTGCAAGCAGGCACAAACACCATCCGCGTGGCACCTCATCAGCTGCACATAGCCCATGGTTTGGAATGCTGGAACCCCGACTACCAGCAGATCAAAGAGCTCAGAACAGCAGCCGACAATCTGCGCCAAGGACTCCTCCGAGTCCATTCCAGAACCACCCGAGGATCCAGTTCCGACATCAGGCATACCTTTTCTCGTACCACCTCCAGCCACTGAGACCACACAGCAAGAACAGCGGCAGGCGCAGGAACATGCTGAAGAAGCCGTCCAGACAGACCCCTATGATCCTCCGTCCACTAGCCTGGCTAGGATCCCATGGGCTTGAGCCTCTGCTGGCTAAAATTTTTAGCCAGCCAATGTGTGATCTGGGGATGGATAATTCTTACAGAATCGAGGTTGTACAAAACATTTCTGAGGTTGGGTACCTTTCGCTAGTTGAGCCATATTGAGGAGATACAAGTACCCTAGATCAGGACCTTGTATATACTACTCAGGTGTTGGCTACCTATTATTTTAGCCAGGCCATGCAATGGATTTTAGCCATAGAGTATTTTGGGCACATCGTGTTGACAAAGTGGTCATGTTCAAACGCTTGTCATTGCTTTAGGTAGGCAGCAGGGGTATTCATTCTTCTTGTTTGGATTGTGTGGAAATGTGAGAAGGATGTGGTAGGTTAAAGGTGATGTCCAAGACCTTCAAGATGTTC